CCTGTCCTATAACAGTCTTTTATTGTGTTCTGCCTCATGCTTCTTGTGCTAAGGAAGCAGGGGACAGGATCCATAGATCTATTTATGAATAGGTCAATTGTTAAAAGCTATCAGCACCTGAATAAATCTTACCAGGGGAGAACAAAAGAGCAACTGACTCCTAGATAAAACTTTTTTTCTCTAAACTCTTCAGGGGACTCTGGATTTCAAGAGAGTGGACACAGAACAAAGAGATCAGTTGTTAGTAGTGCGGTATCAGAAAACTGAAAAGCCTGGCAGCCTCTCCTAAGGGAAGCTAAGAGAAAAACCACAAGAAGCCTGGGTAGGAGAGAAGAACATAGGGCCATGCAATCACAAAAAAGGGATACAACTGAGGAAGAAAGATGGTAACTAGAGAGGACAGAAACTTCATGATTCGGGAAAAAAAAAAAGCTAAATTGGGATACTTGACTACTTCAAGGACTCCGGTGTATGTCCTTGAAGAGTGTTGAGACATGAAGATGCGCATATTTTTCAGTCTGGAGCTTTATTTATTTATTCATTCATTTGGGTTTTTTATTTATTTATCTATTTATGTGCTCTAACTAAAATTAAGTGATAGGTTTTGGAAACTTTTATAGAACCTAAGCATGTTTGCTTCCATTAATATGTCCCTGAACTGTAATCTAGATAGCCAACATGGTGAACTTGCAGAAAGGGATATTTTTAAGCCACTCAAATAGTCTGTATTGGTCCTGAATGCCAAAAGAGCTTGTGCTTGGGAGATGTGCCAGAGAGACCAAACAGAGGACCAATACAAAAACCTATTCATACCTGGGTCATAAACCTAGTGCCAACAGAGATGACACCAGAAACTGAATATTTCTTTCTGCACATTAATTACTTTGGGGAACAGGCCCAAATTTGCTCTGCAGTTGTTGTTGGTACAGTTCTGTGCAGATGGAATATTTGTCTGCAGAAGTGTAGATGTTGAAATTTGAATGCAGAGTGTGACAGGGGGCCAGAGTGTGACAGAGTTCAACAAAAATTATGCTGTTATGCAGGCAGGAGGCTGCCCACTTACTACCCCAACAGCAGGGGTTGCTATCCACCACTCTGAACCTCCCATACTTGGTGGCCACATACTACACGTTCAGGTATTCTCTGTGCTGCAAAGTAGCAGCACGGGGGTGGGAGGAAAGGGTGGGATGAGGTTTGATCCTGGGAGATGAACAAAACCCATGCAAACAAAAAGTGGGGCAGCACACGTGGGGACAGCCTGCGCCACCCAAAACCAATGCCTGGCCAGCCAGAGCCACACTCTGGCTGCCAGCCTGGTTCTGAGCAGTAAGATCGCCACTGCTGCATCCCCAGGAGGCCCCCAGGACCCCAGGTGAGGCTGCTGGGGAAACAAATATCAAAAAATGTGCTGCTGCTTCTTGTCCCCAGGGAAACAAACTTCCGCACTCTTGTGGAGATGGCCTCTATTTTGACTAAATGGGTTTTTCATCTGTCATTTAGTCCATTTTATTTTTTACAGGTTTATAGATATTTTAGACATTAGACATTAGGGCTGGAAGATCATCGAGTCCAGCCCTCTGCCCCAGGGGCAAGAAGTCAGCTAGGGTCAAAGGATCCCAGCAAGATAAGTGTCCAAACGTTTCTTAAAATAGCCCAGAGTAGGTGCCTGCACCACCTCTGGAGGGAGTCTATTCCAGGCTTTGGGGGCTCGGACAGTAAAGAAGTTTTTCCTTATGTCCAACCTAAAATGGTCTTGAAGAAGTTTGTGACCATTGGTCCTTGTCATCCCTTGGGGCGCTCTGGTAAACAGCCGTTTCCCCAGATTCTGATGCACACCCCGATGTACTTATAGGCTGCCACCAGGTCACCCCTGAGCCTTCGCTTTTCCAGGCTGAAGAGTCGCATGGCCGAGTCCCATGGCCCTCAGCCTCTCTTCATGAGGCCTATACTCTAGCCCTCTGATCATGCACATGGCTCTCCTCTGGACTATCTCAAGCTTCTCCACATCCTTCTTGAATTGTGGAGCCCAGAATTGGATGCAGTACTCTAGCTGCAGCCACACCAAGGCTGAGTACAGTGGGAGGATGACATCCTGAGATTTACCTGAGAAGCATCTATGCATGCAAGCCAGAGTTTTCTTCACTTTACCAGCTGCAACATCGCATTGGTAGCTCATGTTCGTCTTGTGGCCAGTCATAAGCCCCAAGTCTATTTCGGCTGTGGTTCTAGTGGGCGTAGCACTGCCGAGCCTATGAGCGTGCTGTGGGTTTTTCTTTCCCGAGGTGGAGCATCTTGCATTTTTTGGTATTGAACATCATCAGGTTTATATCCATCCACTTTCTAAGCCTATCCAAGTCAGCCTGGATACCCAGCCTATCCTCAGGTGTGGACTCTCTACCCCAAAGTTTAGTGTCATCGGTGAACTTGGCCAGTCCACTTCTGACACCATTGTCCACAGGGTTGATAAAGACGTTAAAGAGAACCGGTCCAAGGATGGAGCCTTGGGGGACACCATTGGTCACTGAGCGCCATAATGATTAACTTCTGTCAACTACTACTCTCTGGGTCCAACCTTGGAGGCAATTCCCCAGCCCAGCCATAGACTGTGATGTAGCCGAGGCCACAGTTGGCCAATTTTTCCATGAGGAGATCATGGGATACCAGATCAAAGGCTTTTTTAAAGTCCAGATATATGATGTCAATCACTTCTCCCTTGTCCAGGTGATGTGTCACCTGGTCATAGAAGGCGATGAGATTGGTCAGGTAACACCTACCTGCAACAAACCCATGCTGGCTGTCCCTCAGGATGTTGCCATCAGCCAGCTTATCAAGAATAGTCTCTTTGATAATTTTTTCCAGAATCTTACCAGGGATTGATGTCAGGCTGATTGGCCTGTAGTTCCCTGGATCTACTTTCCTCCCTTTCTTAAAGATGGGCACCATATTGGCCTTCTTCCAGTCTTCAGGTACTTCACCTGAGCACCACAAGTTTTTGAATATTTTTGCCAATGGTTGGGCTATAACACCTGCCAGCTCCTTAAGTACTCTGGGGTGTAATCTATTGGGACCAGCTGACTTGAAGGTGTTCAGCCTCACAAGGTGTTCCTTTACAAGGTCTATACCAATGCTGGGTATAAATTCACCTTCACCCTGGCTGTCCCACATGATGCTAGGCACAGCAGTCCCTTTGGGTTGATGAAAAACCAACGTGAAGTACCCTTTAAGCAGGTTAGCTTTTTCCTGGGTGTCAGTTATCAGTTGTCCCATTTGGTTTAGCAGTGGTCCAATGTTACCCTTGCTTTTCTTACAACTCCCCACACATCTGAAAAATAGTTTTTATTGTTCTTGATATGTGTAGCCAGATGGAGTTCAATTGCAGCCTTGACTTTCCTGGTTCACAACCTACAGGTATACAGTCCAGAATACTCCTCCTTGGTGGTGATTCCAGTCTTCCATCCTTTATAAGCCTCTCTTTTTAGGCGTAGGAGGTCCACGAGTTCCCTGCTGAGCCAAGGGGGTTGCTGTACCCTTTTGCTACCCTTCCTCCAAGATGGGATGGACATCCCTTGTGCTGTCAGGATCGTTCCCTTGAGGAGCAACCACTTCTCTTGGATTCCTCTCCCTGATGAGTCATGGCCCCGTAGGGCCCCAACAACAAGCCTCCTGAGCTTATCAAAATCAGCTTTCCTAAAGTCAAGCATTTCTGCATTGCTGACTGACTTGCCAGCTTTGCAATGAATAGTAAAAGTGATCAGCTAGTAGTCACTATCACCCAGCTTTCCTTCGATTCTTAGGTCGCTGACAGGATCATCTTCTTTGGCCAGCACCAGGTCCAGCAATGCTTTACCTCTTGTTGGCCCATAGACTTCTTGAGTCAGGTAGAGCTCATCCACACATGTGAGGAAACTTTGCAACCATTCGGATTTGCCTGAATGCTCTTCCCATGAGATGTCCGGGTAGTTGAAGTCTCCCATGACAACCATGCACTGAAAGCGTGCAGCCTCAGCCAGTTCCTTGGCGAATTCCTGGTCTAGCTCTTGTCCCTGGTTAGGAGGTCTGTAGTAGACTCCTATCATTGTGTCCCTTGTGGCACATTCCCCATGTCATCCTCCCTAGGTGCCAATGTCAGTTTGCAGGGATGTATAGCTTTCCTTGACATAGAGAGCTACACCCCCACCCGTTTTATCCACACGATCTGTAGGGCTAATATATTGCAGGTAAAGTACAACACTCACAGTGGAGTTTTAGAGTCCAAGAGCATAGATTTGTGCAGGAAATATTTTAGGATAGTTTACTTTCTGTTGTCATTAATTCACAGAGCTTAACTTCAGTTAAAATCGGAGAAACAAATCCATATTTCAAAGGTTACAAGGGCTGATTTGACTCCCCTTTATTAAAACTGTGCTTTTAAATTGTTAGAAATAGAATGGAATATAGACTATTTCTTGTGTTTTTTCCCTGATAGCACTTTAGCCTAAATGCTGTTTTACACTGATAAAGTTTCTTTTGCTGCTTCTCCTCTATATTCTTCTATATATTATGTTTCTTTCTGTAGAAAACATGCAGTAGCTTATTCCAGTCTTTGAAAGCTAATATCAAACTTCCAAGCAAGAAGTCACGCCTGTTCAAAGATGGTTTTCTCCTTCTTGACATTGTTAATAAATGTTTACTTGGTTGTTGCCACTATATTTCTATTAATTTCATGCCAGGGCACGTGCAGTTTCATAAATGATGACATTTACAGGTATTTTTCTCTCATATTTTCAAAGAATATAAATCCAAAACAAGGAAGTTCATTCTGAAGAATGAACTAGACCTTGTTTTTTAAATCATGCTTCCTATTTTCACACACAACATTATAATAATTAGTTTCCTGTTATTTGGAGCTGCAGTCATATTACTGAGAACCCTCCATGCTTTGATTAAGACACATTATATAATAATTATTGACATTTAAGGCTCTAATATATATTTGAAAATGTTATATATTTCCCTGACAGATCAGCGGCCTGCAACTGGAAGGTTGCAGTTTTGATGGAAATCGGCTTTCAGAAAATCAGCATGACTCTCCCAGCGTGTCATCAGTGCTTCCTTGTTACATGGCCTGGATTGCGCAGGTACTATATTATTAAAGTCCCTAAACTTTTATCGGAATAATTAGCCATTTTCCTTCTGTAATAACTTTCCAGAGTGTGCCTCTTCTTCTTTAATAATCATCAAATCATCATCTGGTTTTAATTTTAAAAAAGCTTTCTTTTTGTGTAGTACAAATAATTCATTGATATTTTGTCAATTTCTGAACATTATAGTGCAGGTTTAGAGAGCGACAGTATAAACAAAAAAGGTATTGTAAACCAAACTAATTATTTTTCTTTTCTCTGTTCTAAAGACATGAACTTCATATTTAATAAAACTTTTTAAAGTATTTGGGAATTCTTGGTTAAAGAAAATGTGAAGTCTGAACACCATGTGATGTAAAATCTGACACAAAGAACTTCTGTTTACACCTAATAAAATCAAATTCTAACATTTCTTGAAGTGCTTAAGATTAAAGCAAAACAAGTAATCCAAACAGGACAAATTGTAGCTCATTTCTTTTTACAGTAATAATTATATCAATAATCTTTGTTAGATACAGGAATCAGAAGCAGCAAAATAATATACTTTACATAGTAAATTTCTTGTAAGTATGGGGTTGTATTACAGCATGGGTGTCAAATATACAGCCCATATAACCATTGCATCCAGTCCACCAGTAGTCTGGTGGGCTACCAGAAGTGCACACCCTTGGCTCCACACTGCTGCATACCCCTGGCACTGTAAACAGGCCAGGGATCCACAGCACCAGGCAGCCACATGGAGCCAGGCTTGGGTGGCAGTGCAGAACACTGGCCAGTTGGCAGTGCCAGGGGCATGTAGTAGCACGAAACTGGCTAGGCAGTGGCAGAAAGCTGAGGGTGTACAGCTGCGTGGAACCATATTCAGGCAGCAGCATAGAGCCAGGTAACTGCCACTCATAGCCTGGTCCATGTCCCACTGCTACATGCCCCTTGCCTCCAGCTCCTCATTGCTGCACAAATGTGGCTCTCTGCAGTTGTACGCTTTTGGCTCCATGCTGTTGTTTGGCCAGAGCTCTGCACCATGGCATACCCCTGGGTCCTTGCTGCCCAAACATGGCTCCCTGCAACCACAGCCTCCCCCGCTCCTCCCCGGATGTACAATGTGGCCCAATCCCAGGCCTGGGAGGGGTCCTTGCGGTCGATCCAGCCTGGGACCTGGAATAAGTTTGACACTTCTATCTTAGTGTTATGCTTAACAGAACTATCAAAGTTTATATTTATATATCATATTGCTCCTTCTTATAGAACTCTTGCTTTTTCCGTGTGTGTGTGTGTGTGTGTGTGTGTGTGTGTGTGTGTGTGTGTGTGTGTGTACAGGTATATACACACACACGCAAAAGCAAGAGTTATATAAGAGGGAGGAATGTGGTTTCCCTACTTTTTTCCCTCTTTTACACTAAACACAGCTAGATACATTATTGCCCATTGCTTTCCGTTACCTTGTCACTCATTTTGCAAACAAGATCCCATACAGCAGACATGATCGGCAAGCAGAGGACTGCTATGTGGCGGCTTAGTGAATTCTGCATTATTGGAACAGTTGCCTGGCTGCCATTGTTTAATAAGTTTAATAATCAGGAATGTGTTGACAACCATATATTTACACTTCATCATTCAGTTTTAATTGATTTTAGCCTGTTGTTACCAAGAGGTAACAACACTTCTAGCTGCATATCTGGAAGCAGACTTTAAGCAAGGAGCTTTGCTGCTGAGACACATTAGCTGCAACTGTACTAGACATTTTTCTTAAAACTTCCCATTGTGCTTCACTAGTGGTATTAATGGGGGCCTGAGGTAGCACAGGTACTAAGGTGGAGAGCCCAGAGGTTGCAAGTTCCAGGCCATAGCAGAAGTGGTCTTGGCATTGTCCATCAAATTCTAACAAATCTGTGAATTTTGCTAATAACCTTGTTGGGGGGCGGGCGGGGGGGAGTGATTTCATAGATTTCATAGACATTAGGGCTGGAAGGGACCTCGGAAGATCATCGAGTCCAGCCCCCTGCCCAAAGGGCAGGAAGCCAGCTGGGGTCATAGGATCCCAGCAAGATAAGCATCCAGTTTGCTCTTGAAGGTGTTCAATGTAGGCGCTTGAACCACCTCCGGTGGCAGGCTGTTCCAGACCTTGGGGGCTCGGACAGTAAAGAAGTTCTTCCTTATGTCCAGCCTGAAACGGTCTTGTAGTAGTTTATGACTGTTCGACCTAGTCGTCATCCCTAGGGGCGCTCTGGTGAGCAAACATTCCCCCAGATACTGTTGGTCACCCCTGATAAACTTATAGGTGGCCATCAGATCACCCCTGAGCCTGCGCTTTTCCAGGTTAAAGAGCCCCAGGGCTCTCAGCCTGTCATCGTAGGGTCTGCTTCCCTGACCTCTGATCATGCGCGTGGCTCTTCTCTGGACTCTCAAGCTTCTCCACATCCT